ACTCGACGACCACCACCACAAAATTCTTTAAATGTTTCACCAGAATTTAATCCACGATATAAATTTGGTAGTGGTAAAAAATTCGTTATGAAAGATAATCATCCATCAATTGAAAAAGTAAAATTTGAACGAGAACTTAAAATGGCTATTAGTTTTCATCGTGAACTTAAACGAGCAAAAGAAGGCAATGAAAAAAGTCTTTATGCTCGTCATCAACCGGTTTAATACATGGAAAAAAAATAAAAACAACAATGATTTTATTTTTAATTTGTAGTTTTCATGATTTTTTTTTAATATGTTTTTTCTTTGTATTTTTGAAAACTAATATTTTTTTATATTTAAAAATATATACAAATTATTTTTTTTCAGATTAATAAACAAAAAAAAAAAAAAAGAAAAAGAAAACAAAATCAAATGGATGTTGGAACACTTTCAAATAAATTAAATGAAACAACTGGTTATATAGTTCGACCAAATTTTGAAGAAAAATTTCGTTCAACTAAAATACAAGAAATTCTTTATTCATGTATTAGTGATGTTCTTGGTGATAAAAAATTTGAACAAGATGCATGTCCAGAATGGACAAAAGCTAGTATGTTAATTAATAAAAATTTTGTTTTTTACACATATTCAGATTTATTTCTAACCAGGGAAGATGTCGAACTGGTTCATGCTGTTTTTGATGATATTTTATGTGCATGTACGAGATATTACTCTAAGAAAAAGTCTAAAGAAGAAAGTCTCTCAATTGATAAATCACTTTTGAGTCTAAACTTTATGCATTATGTAGACCCACGAAAAGAGTTATTGCTGCAGGGATACTGCGCTTTTATGGTATTTTTCAAATGAATACCGTAATAATAGAAAAACTGATTTTCAAATTTTGACATAGAACAGACCTTAACGAGAAAAAAATTTTGTGAATGTTTCAGGTCTTTTGATTTGTTGCTATCCTAAAATAAGACCGTCAAATCTACCGATTTATATGAATGATATAACAGATACCCTATTACCATAGTTTTATCTTAGGATAAAAATAGCGACAAGATCTGAACCATTCACAATAATCTATTCTCATTAAGACTTTACTACAGCATTGTTTTAAAAATATCGTAAAAAGTGCATTATTTCCGCAACAATAAGCTAAGAGTACGAACTTTTTTCAGGATGTTTATAGCTCATTTGAATCTACATAATACATATAGTCTTGATTCAAAAATGATTTATCAGTTGAAAAATTTCCGTCACAAGAGGATTCGAACTGTTGTGACTTCTTTCAATAGATATAAATATATTCATTATTTCATACACTGAAAAATCATATCAATGAAATCTCGTATAGCTCATATGAGAATTGGTCTAACTTCTCACAAGTTATAACTCTATGTTATACGCAGAAGTAGATATGAATGAGACCCAGAAAAATCCTAAAAGGATACTCGTCCATGGCCTTCGAGAAGTTTTAATCAAAATAAATATTTCTTTTTCTTTATTAGGATGAAAATCTCTCGTTAGTTATATTGATATGATTTCTCTCTTAATATAGAAATGAAAATATTTTTAGCTATCGAAAGAAATCACATCAGCCGAAATCTTCTTAGAGGTTTTTTCTTAGAATAAGATCTTTCGAATGTACGCAAAATATCAACGAAAATGGCGCTGATCAATTGAGAATCCATTTAGCTTCGATTGTTTCAAATATGAAGAACGAATAACAAAATAATATTTCGTCTTAAAGTTTCGAACTCTGAGTTATGTACATTGTTTGAAAATATTACAAAAAAAAAACAAATCTATTCACTTGTTTTTATTTCTATTACTAAATTAATAAATCATTTGTCAAATAGTTTTTCCTATTGACTATTGTCTTTTGCAAAAGAAAGAGAAATTACTTTTATTTAATATAAGTTTCAACACTTTGATCATTCGAACAAAACAATGACTAAACTCTATCCAAAAGATTAATTTAGATTTTAATAGAATAGTTAACATTTATTGACACGTCCGAAACGTCAACATTGTTGGTTAAGCAAAAATACATCAATGGTAAAAATACATAACATGATGAATGACTTAATCATACGACAATATTAATAGGAGAGATGAAAAATGAGCAATAGTATTTTTTATCAAAGCATCTATTTTCTTTTTATTCTAGTCTATCTTCTAAATTGAGTTCATTGGTATTAAATTTTCTCGATTCCGATGTGCATTCATTTCAAATTTTACTATGGTTTTTTTCCATATGCATCAAATTGTATATTCTTCTAAAATAATATAAAATATTTCTAAAAACTTTAAATCAAAACTATAATATCAAATATTTATATTATTCATATAGTTTATAATGAGCAAGTAATTTAATATGATAGATTGATCAATATTTGAGTCATTGTTCATTGAACATATTCTATAGTAAATAATGATGTTTGAATTCATTCAAGAATTACTCTTGTAAGAAAAAAAAAGAATTTTGATAATATGAAACTCGGTCTGATATATATATATATATATAAATATTCTTTTTTCTTTATTAACAATAGTTACAATTAACATTCGTGATCGTCTTAAAGCAGCAAATATGAAATTTGATCGATACAAATTTATAGTTCAATGTGTTATTGGTGAAAATAGAGGACAAGGTGTTAAATATGGTTGTCGATGTTTATGGGATTCTGATACAGATGGTATGGCTGAATATGTTTATTTAAATGAAAGTCTTTTTTGTGCTGTAGCTGCTTTTGGAATATTTTATTATTAATCTTTATTATTTTTATTGTCATTAATTTCATTAAAATAATTGTTTGTTTAATCATATGAATAAATAAATATTATACATTTCAAAGATATGAAATCAAAATTGATAGAATTGTTTTAAAAGCTAATAAAACAAAAAAAAAAAAAAGTATACCCAATGGAATTGAGTTCATTGATGTCATTTATCACCAAAGGTTAACCACATATAAAAAACAGAAAAGAAGAAAAAAAAAAAGAAGATCTACGTGCTCAATTTTTGTTAGTAGTAATTCTGTTTTGCAATCTCATATTAATAAAGTTTAGAAGAGAGAAGAGAAAAAGAGAAGAATAATTTGTCATGAAGTTTTGTTTTTTTTTTTTTTTTTTTTTCTTCGATTCTGTCTCATTCATTTGCACACGTATAATGAAAAGGATATCAATATCAAATAAAACCGGCAGAATTTAGAGAAACGAAAGAACAAAAAAAAGAAAGAAAGAGAGAGAGAGAGACAGAGAAAGATTGCAATGCACATAAATAATGCCAATTTTTCTCTCGCTCTCTTGCATATTTATATAATCTGATAAGAACATAAGTGGTAGGTAAGAGAAGGTCTCGAGATTCGTATAGAGTAAAATGACGGATAGAATAAGAGGAAATTTAATAGGTGGAATAGAGAAAAAAAAATTGTTTATTGCAGCTGTTCGTCATTTTTTAAATTACTCGTTGTCGTTGATCTTCTCTCGGTCGGATACTTGTTCTGCTATGGCTAGTTACAAAATTTAAGCACGTACCAAAGTATATATATTAAAGCAATGTAGTTAATTAAAAGGAACGAATAAAACAACCATCAAATAAACCGAAAAATGGGTAAATCAACAACATAAGAGAATGATCTTCAAGTTGTATAGTTTATTAAAAATACTGATTCAGGTAAGAAAAAAAAATAAAACATATCGAATGACACTTCCATACATCATAGGAAGACAGCACAGATGTCAACAAGAGAGAGAAAAAACGAGAGAGAGAGACAGAGAGAGAGAAAGAAGAAAAATCAACTTCAATAAACCGTGCAAATACAAGTTTATAGTGTACACACAGCTGACTTGATTTCGGTTGAGACAATCAAAATCACCCTATCGTCATGATAATAAAACTGCATATATACATACATACACTAAGCTCTCTCACAATGATAATAAAAAACGGGCGCAATATGTTAGCGATATAACCCCTCTTTGTTATGAGAAGTATAGAGTAAAGAGAGAAAAGAAGTATTACGCGAATTGCCATAAAAAAAATTGAAAGAGTATTTTAGTTTGCTTTCTCTCTCTCTCTCTCTTTCTGTCTCTCTCTTTCAGTGTCTCTCTCTCTATTTTTCTCTTTTTCATACTACTATAATTTTTCGTTTTGCAGTTTGATCACGAAGAAAAACGAGAAAAGAAGTCTCATTCTAACTGCATTTTTTTTTTAAATGTTATTAGTGACAAATACTATTCAAACATTATATACAAAGATAATAAATTCGATTAAAATAAAATACTTATCGAATTGATAACAATCAAATTTAAATATATTGTAAGTTGAATTATATAATTATAATGAAATAATAAAATAATCTTAACGTTTGATTGCTCGTGCCAGGCAGTGTTTTTGCACGAGATTAACAAAAGACTGTAAATGCATTGGTCTGGTACGAACCATCAAAACGATTTCATCATTATTTTATATTTATTTCAATGTTTCTCTTTTGTTTTTTTGTTATTTTAATATAAACGATCGATTTAAATTATTCTTTTTCTTTTTTTTGTCTTCTTCAGATCGATTTATATATCATCTTACAGTCTTCTAATACGTTGACAAGGCAATTCAAATCATTTACATATTGTCTATTTGCTTATGTAACACACAAGAAAAAAAAAAGAAGAAGTTCTTATGTTTAGTTAATAAAATGAAAAGAATTGGCGCTAGAATATAAATGGGTAGTATTTATATTCATAATACAAATCATCTTCAAACTTCATGAAATAATTATAAACAATCGAATCATGATGATGATGATGATGATATGATATATTAAGAAATGAATTCATTATCATCAAATATTATGGAATACGATGATATTTTCATTCGAAATAATTTAATGAATATCAATGATCAACAATGAACATTTGAGAATAATGTTGATAGAAAATGGCATGATGATTTAATATATTCATAATCAAAAAAAAAAAATTCTAAATAAACTTCATTTTTATTTTGTATATCGAAATCAACTTTAAAATGATAATAGAATATAATAAATATGTCTAGATTTTATGAAGATATTCGACAAGTTTTGTCCGCCTTTTCTTATCAAAAAGTAAATATTGATAGCTTTTCATTGCAGATTTATCAATTTTCTTAGTAAA